GCTCCACTTCTTCCTGGAGACATTGAGGCCTCTGGATTTTTTCAGAGCTTTGTCCTGGTTAAATTCAACTTTCAAGATTCTCTTGGTCTAGTTATTGAGAGTGAGAAAGTTCAGATATAAACTCTTCTTCCTTTGACAAACTTTCTGAGGCCTTTCTGGGCTCTCGATTTTCATTCCCAGGATCTAGTTGTATTGCTTAAATATCTACTGCTTCCTTAATTTTCTTAGGCTCAAGATTCCTTCTTGGCTTGATTTTTTGGTACTTTGGCACACTCAAAGGGCATTTCTACTAGACCATGCCGCAAAGCCTTATTCTTCTTATCTGTGTGGCTTCAGCATCTTCCCCCTATTCCTTGTGACCTTTACAAACTGAATTGAACCTAGTTTCATTAGCCCTCAGCTAAAGTTTTATTTTGTTTTAATTTATTTTATTTTAGAGATAGAGAGCACGAGGAGGGGAGAGGGGCAAAGGGAGAGAGGGAGAGAATCTCAAGCAGCTCCGTGCTCAGTGCGGAGCCTATGTAGGGCTCAGTTTCACGACTGTGAGATCATGACCTGAACCAAAATCAAGTCGGACACTTAACCAGCTGAGACACCCAAGCACCCCTAAAGCTTTATTTTGTGAGTCTATGACAATAAGAGACCTCTAAAAACAAAAGACAGGGGCATTTGGGTGGCTCAGTTGGTTAAGTGTTGGACTTTGGCTCAGGTCATGATCTCATGGTTCATGAGTTCAAGCCCCACGTCGGACTCTGTGCTGACAGCTCAGAGCCTGGAGCCTGCTTCAGATTCTGTGTCTCCTTCTCTCTCTGCCCTTCCCCCACTTGTGTGCTCTCTCTCTCTCTCTCTCAAAAATAAATAAACATTAAAAAAAAAAAGACAGGAAGGAGGTGGCTAACTTTAAGGAGCCATGAAAAATGTCATACATAGAAAGGCATGCTGGGAATGCATGGTGTAAAGGAGAGGGATAAATCAAGAACAGAATGAAATTGCATAGAAAAAAAGTAACTGGGGAAATACAAACCACACATTGCATGGTCAAAATACATTGAAGTAATATCTGGTCTGGGAATATTGTCTAAGGCATTCAAGCTGAAGGGAATCAGAGCTTAGTAGTTATTTCTCAGCAGTAGTTCTTGTATGAGATGGAATGCTCAGGTCTAAGATCCAAGAGTTACTTTTCAATTGGAATCACAGTCAAACTCTGGGAAGATGAGGCTGGTAGGAATTGGATAAGAGTGCTACATACCCAGATAAATTAAGGCTAAGCTCTAGCCCCACCTGAGAAATAGAGTAAAACCCAGAAAGAAGTATTGAAAAGTGGTCCATGTGTGGTGGGGATGAATAGAGAGGCTGAAACTTGCTTACACAGGTCCTAAGGGTCTTGGTTCCACCAGAGAGACTGTGTCCATAGTCTCTCATGAATGGGATGAGAGCTTCTTGAATGTGGCCACAACCTGATGCCATTGGCTTGGCCCCACTGGAGCTGAGCCTAGGGTACCCAGTTATTGTTTGCTGGCAGCTGTGGAGATGTTAGAGCTGACAAGGATTTAGAGAGAGCTGGGAAAGACTTGCTAACCACTATGTTGGGTCTGTCAGGGCAAGGAAGTGGAGAGACAAGAAGAGATGGAGACAAGTCAGGGCTCAGGGGTCAGAGACCAATGTTGGCTATTTCCTATCTAAGCCCTAACTCACTCAGTTTCTCTTTTCTTTGGCAGCCCTCTCTGGGAGATGGTACAGGATGGCATTGACCTCAAGAGCATCAAGTGGACACAACACTAGAAGAGTCGGCCTCTGACTTTGTGCTGACCTGGCTTCTGCCTCATCAACCCATGCTAACCTGGGTATCTTGTTACACCCAGTGGACGCTTCATGTTCAAACCACAATTGGTGTAGCCCAGTTGACTTCAGCATTTTTCCACCTCCAAGATAGAAACAACAAGAAAACTATCTTTCCTGAGCCTCAGCTCCTTTGTTGGAGAACACTCAACATTTCTCTTCAGGAGTCCTTCTCTGGTCTTACAGTGAATGGATATTCTTGGTGGGGAGAGCCAGAGGAACTGGAAGAAGTTTCTTTGTTCAGGGGCCTCAGTGATCTGTGTGGACTTTTGAATGTTGCTTACTACTGCTCAGCAAGACTGACTCCTTCAGGAGCAAGCATAATCAACGATTTAATTTCTTTTTTGGTCCAAACGCCACCTCTTCATGTTGTAGACTGAACAGCAAGTTTCTTAGAAGGCTTGTCTCCTGTTCTTGTCCTTCATTTCTTTTGACCTAATGAAGCTAAAAATATCTATATGCCTCCATCTACTCTTCTAATAATTTATGTTTCTTTTTTAAAAATTGTTAATTTGCAGATTAGAGAAATAAAATAACCTTCTTCTATTTAATTTGTGACTTTATGAAAGTCTCAGGGAAAATTCCATGCTGTGCTTGGGAATCATGGAGCAGACTACCACTCCACTTGATTTCCATAGATGACTGTCTGCTTGTATAGCGCTTCATTCATCAGTTATGTGAGTGGCTGTCAGGAGCCTAACATTCTTCTGAGTATTGGACCAAAAGACCCTGCCCTCATTGAGCTTTCATTCTAGTAGAGAAACAAAAAATAAATAAACAAATAAAGCTATTATTGATTGTGATGGGTGCTATAGAAGAAATATAATGGTAAGAGGAAATAACAGGGAGAAACTACTATGCTAGGTATGCTAGGAAACCTTTTTTAAGGAGTGTTACTTAAGCAAAAACCTGATTTCCAGCCATGAAAGAACTAGAGATGAATGAGAAATTAGAAGCAACTGGAAGAGCAAAGGGCCTGAGGTATGAAAAAGCATGATGTGTTTGAGAAACCTGTAGAGGGCAAATGCAGTTTCCATCTGTGGGTATGACACTGTAGGTGGATAGTTACCAGCACTAAAAAATCAAGAGAAAAAATAGATTACATTGGCATATTTTAAGTATTTTTTTGTTTTTTACTTTTTAAAAAAAGTTTATTTATTTTTAAGTAATCTCTACACCCATGTGGGGCTAGAAATACAACCCAGAGATCAATAGTCTCATGCTCATGATTGAGCCAGCCTGGTAACCCTTAAGTATTTTATTTATATTATATATTTGAATGTGTATACCTGGTTGCAAATGTATTATGTGAGTGATGGTCAAAAAAGTTTGAAAGCTACTAGCTAGAAGTATGGTAAATACAGGTAGACAGGAGGAAAATTTTAAATAAATTTTTCACTATGAATAATTTCTTTAAAGTTTATTTATTTTGAGAGAGAGCACTCAAACGAAGGAGAGGCAGAGAGAGAGAGAATCCCAAGCAGGCTTCACACTGTCAGCACAAAGCCTGACACATGGCTCAATCTCACAAACTCTGAGATCTTGACCCAGGCCAAAATGAAGAGTCTGGTGCTTACGTGATTGAGCTACCCAGGAGACACTATTTTGAATAGTTTTAGATTTAGAGAAAGTTTGCAAAGATAGTACAGTTAGATGTCCATTACCCAATATCCTCTAATTTTAACATCTAGTATAAAACTTGGCATATTTGTCAAAACTAAGGGATTATTAACATCTGTACATTAGTATTAACTAAACTTCAGATTTTATTCAGATTTCACCAACTTTCCCACTAATGCCCTATTTCTATTCCAGAAACCAATTCTGGATACCATATTGCATTTAGTAGGTTTCATTTTTAATGCACTATATTATAGCTACAAAGAGGATATATAATGAGAAATAGGTTTGGTTTAAAAGTGAGACAGAGTTTTCTAATTTGTGTTTTTGGCATACTGAGCTAGCACCAGGCAAGTTTGCCACGCAAATCTTCCCAAAAGCTTGTTGGAGCTGTGAAAATATAGTCCCTGATTTTTTTTACTCAGTTGACTTCTCACTTGCTGATTTGGAAGATTAGTTCAATTTTGGTAATAGTCATCATGTTGAAAACTAGCCTCTGTACTCCAGAGCTGTAATATAACAGGAAGACAGTTTGGGGATAAAGAGGAAAGGTAGTTTTATTACTTCCAGGCAAAGGAGGCTGCAGCAGACTTAATGCCTTCAAAACTGCAGACCCACTCTGGATAAAAGGCTAAGGAGTTTTATAGGAAAATACAGGATCTGGGTGGTTTGGATAGGAACCTGGTAGCACTTGAGCCGTATTGGTTAGGTCTTCATCGTGGTCTCATGACTAGCGCTGGCAATGGCCATCTGAGTCTCATTACTAGACATACATTGAGGTAAGCGAGAGGTCAACATTGATGCGGAGTTCCTGGAACAAATGATTCTACCAAAACAAAACAAAACAAAAAAAAACAAAAAACAAAAACAAAACAAAAAGAGGGTAGGCAGAAGCTTTAAGAATGAGGAAGAGAGGGAAAATATTGTTCAAAGTCAAGTCTTGCTGAAGCATGAATGTATCCATCTTAATTTCTATCCATCTTTACATTTCTATAATGGTTTCAATCACGATAATTGAGTATAGGCAGGGGGAGTGCACAGCATGAGAATAATTTTTTCTATAATATAGTAATACTAAATACTAAATACAATACTTAATACTAAGATGCAGTCCGTTAATGAACACTAGTGGGTAAGGCTCCCTGGATTTACATTTTTAACTGGGAAAAAAAAATTAGGTTTTGGTTCTTTTGTTAGGGCATCGCCAACAGAACCGGGCACTACTTTGTGGTCCATTTCATCCTCGACACACTGCGCGAAGAAGGCATTATTTCTTCTCTTAATAAGAACTGAAGCAATTTGCACAACGTTCCGCAGTGAACGGACCACCCAGGTACTCTTCCCCATCTCACCGAGCAGCGCCTTTCTCCTAAGGCGGGGCTAGTGCGCAAACGTCGTACGTACGGACTCAAAGCTCCTCTCGCCACAAATACCCGCAACTTCCGGGAGATTGCTCAAGAACCTCCCGGCGCTTGCGCCGCGCCGCCCCGTGATGTCACCACTCCGTCCCGCCCCTGCTGGAACGCGGAGCTGCCGAGCGGGCTGTCGGCCATTTTGTGAAGCGGCGAAAGAGGTGGTGGCTGCTGTGGGCTCCGGGAAGCCGTTCGGGCTGGGGCTGTCGGCCGCGGGGCGGAGGCACTCGCGCGGGGGGTAACTCGGGTCTGGGTTCGGGTGCCGCGCAGCTCTCCCCGGTAAGACTCCCGCAGCCCGGAACGGGCGGGGCTGTGCGGGGCTCGAGCCGCCCCTTGGTGGCCCGGGGCGGGGCCTTCGGAGGCCTCCGAGCCCGCCGCAGCGAGCGCCCCACACAAAAGGGTCGCGGCATGGCTGCGGGGGCTTGGGGCGCCGTGTGCGCCTTTGAAGCCTGAGAGGATGCAGGAAGGACGCAAGAGAGGATAAGCCTGCATACCGAAGTGGGGACGAGGCCATAGTGAGGACGCCCCCGTGGTCTGAGGGAGGAGGCCACAGCTGGGTGGCCCAGCGGCCTGAGAACTAACGGGGATTGCAGTGAAAACACACCTACATCCCGAATGAGCCAGATTTTCTGCGCCTCCCAAAAGAGACAGAGATTGTAACTCCATCTCTGTGTCCCGAACTGAGGAGATAAACGTAGTGAGGACACTCCCTTCTTCCGAAGTGGAAAGGAGGCCCCGGTGGCCTAACAGGAAAAGGGGACTACAGTCAGGACACATCTATGGGGAGGAAGCTGTAGTCGTTACACTCTTCTGAGTCTAGGAAGGAAGTCAAAACTGGTCGCCTTCGTGGCCTGAAGGTGGAGGGGGTTGCAGGGAAATGCTTCCCAGGCTCAGCGCTGGGCGGGGCTTACCCTCGAGGGTGTCGGCGATTTGAGAAGCCGGCCTCTGTAGCAAGAAAAGTGGGGGTGAGTACGTCTCCCAGGCCTCTGAGAATTGTAGTGAGGTACCAGATCTTTGGTCCCCAAGTAGGGAAGGGGCTGCAGTGAGGACCACCTTTACATATCCCTTGGGAGAGAGCCTCCCGCTCTGAAAGAGGAGGAGGTGCAATAGAATGTGGAGGTTGGGTGCTTTTGATGAGTGAGTTGAGTTTGTCTAGCGGAAGCTGGAGGTGCTAGTTGGCAGCCACGTGAAATAGATGGGAGGGGCTTTGAGGATCTACAGGTTAGTGTTGGGGTTGGATACCAGTGCAGGAGGCTTAGCTGCCAGATTGCAAATGCATGGACTTTATGTGTGCCTGTAATGTGTGCTTTATAGTGAAAAATCTAAGCGGCTACGGTGAAGGTTACTTTCGGTTATTCAGCACAAAACATGCTGGGAGTTTTGTATACTGTGTTGCAGGCTCCGTAGGAGAGGTTTCTGGATCCTAGAACCGTCCTAAAACCCTGGATTTCCAGAGGTGACCTAATGTAAATTGTGGTAGTTGTTCGGAACCATTCTGTATTATTCAAGAATAGTGTAATTCCGCTCAATATAACCCGAGAGAAAAAGTAATTGCAACTGAAGGACTGTTGAAGGAGAGACTTATGACTGGAGTATTTCTCTTACAGCTTCTTGATTGAATGGTTTAAAATGGTGTGATTTTTGTAAAATGCAGTGTTAGTAACATGTATTGCCTTGGACTTTGTAATCTAGTTTGTATTGTTAATGTATTTCAGAGCGTTTGCAGTTGAAAAGTGTCCTACAAGTCTGCACATACAGGCTTATTGTTTCGTGTTTGTTTGTTTGTTTGTTTGTTTAATTACAGAAATATACAAGACTGGGTTGTACTTGTTTTTGAAATTTGGTGGTTTTGAACGAAAGGAGGATTTCTGGACTTTGTGGGAAGTAATTGTGTTCAGGCATCTTCCAAGATTATAAAAAGTTGAAAGAACTGTTACAGGTGGTTATAATAATTTTATGGTAATTTTTTAAGAAAATGAAATGTTTGCCCTGTTTGTATAAAGGTTGAGGGATGTGCTCAGTATTATTACTGGAAATTTTTTTTAACGTAACAGGGAATGCATTTATATTATCTTTATATGCTCAATTAAGTATTTTATGGATTGTAACGCATCATTTGTATTTTTCTTATGATATCTGTTAGGTGAAAAATGTGAAGGTTGAGAAACCATTGTGGTGATTACTTGGGACATATTGTTATGTGCTAATATCAGTATACTTCTGGCTTCTTTCACTTTCTTGTGACATGCCAAATGTTTCAGTGTTTGCATATTGCGAGTTTGGGGGTTATTGGTACAATTTTTAGATGTGAAACTTGATTTTGTCAGCCAGTGTGTTCCTGGAATTCGGTGACCATGTTTATACTGTTTTCATTCCATTTTTTAGAGAGCCACTTCATCTTTCAGCTTGAATGAATGTTTTCCTCCGTAGATGTTGTAGAAAGAACTTCTAAGAGTCAGTAATGGTTGCACAAAAGATGCTTTTTAGATATCTATCCCTAAAATCTAGAGACTGTCGTCCATTTCTGTATCTTCTGCCCCAGCCACAAGTGCTTAATAAATGTTCGTGATATAAATGAATGTTAAATATTTTAGGTCAGCTAAACAGAAAAATAACTTCACCTAATTGATAGTTTAACACACTTTACTACCACCGCTCATATAACTTCTGGTTTGCAAAGAGTTTATTTTATTAAATTTCAAGCCACCTTTCAAGTCTTAAGACCGATAGGGAGGGTTTACATGGTTGGCTAGGTTAGAAGTAATATTGTTGCTTTTAAGTTTAAATCAAGTAAGATGATGGACATATTTATTGGCATGGGGGGGGGATTGAAAAATAATATAGTCGTTTTGGCAGGAGGAATATATCTCTTATTTAGAAATGTCTTTTGGTTTGCTGCTTTTGATAACTGACTGCAGGCTAATGGGAAAGTTGAGTAACAAGCTATCTAAAGGATTCATGTCCCTCAGTGTCAGAAGAATTGTTTCATTAAGAATGATTCCAGAATCTGAAGTGTGATCCATTTGGGGTTGGGAACACAATCAAGTGGATGAAGCTGTTGGGTTTTTTTTGTTGTTGTTTTTGTTTTTTTCCTGTAATGCCTACCATACTGTGATTATTCGGCTTATGGCATTGTACCCATTATGATTGGTTCTCTGTTGCTCATGTCTGAGGTGACATTTGAGGGGTGCTGCTTTTTGTATTTTTTGAATCTAAAGAACTTTGGCTCTTCTGTATCTGATTACTGAACAAAGTTAAAATTCACTTTTTGATGTTTATCACCAGATGAAGAGTGGAAATGGTTAAGTTCTGGTTTGTACCTTGACTTCCTGATAAAGAGGATTGTTGTCATTTTATTCTGAAATCTCAAATGGTTGAAATGGCTAGTAAATAAGAAAATATGTCGTGTCATAATATGCTAAATGTTCATAGCAAGTATTTGTAATTTGTTCATGTTTCTGGTATTTGTAAAGCTGAAGTAAAGCCACTATGTTAGGATTAATTCCTAACATAAAGCAGAAAAATATACTAGAGCAATCTTCTTGTTTTAGATCTTCTGATACAAGTGAATTTAATGGCACTTTGGGCCCATTTTCTCCTTCCTATCTTTATGCTTTATGAATAGGTTAAAAAAATATGTGCTTTAGATGTTTTGTTTCATAGAATTGTTTTCAGTCTTACCCTTCTAAAATTCACGAAAGCTTAAGCTGGTTGGAGTGGATTTTTCATGTTGGGATCCTTCATTCCATTGCTAGCTGATAATTTAGAACCCAGGGATGAGTAGGTTCTTGGAAAACAGTGGTGCCTCTTAAATTGTTGTGCTCTTTACAAAGTGAGGTGTTGAAAACAAAAGCACTCAGTTCTCAGTTTTGATTTACTTTGTCCATTTGAAGGAAGAGGTGGAACACCAAGAGTTGTGAGCTTCTAGCTTCTAGCTTCTAGCCTGAACTTTTCTGCATATTTTTCCTTGGTATGGATTGATATGGATGTGGGCCTTCCCCTTTGCTCAAATAGAAAAGATTCACAAATTTATGCCTAGATTGATTTTGTATTTTATTTTATTATTTATTTTTAAATGTTTATTTATTTTGAGAGAGAGAGCTCAAACAAGGGAGGGGCAGAGAGAGGGGGGTACAGAGGATCCAAACGGGGCTCAAACCCACAAGCCTTGAACCCACAAGCCATGAGATCGTGACCTGAGCTGGAGTTGGATGCTTAATCAGTTGAGCCACCCAGGCGCCCCCCTGATTTTGGAATTTAAATTTAACAATGTAAAATTTGAACGAGGCATCTGCCAAATTCACCTGGGCCTTTCAACTTTTTCTTGTGGAATGAGACATTTCCTTGTTATAGTAATTTCTGGCAACCCTTTAGAAATTTTTTGAATGTAGGCCTGGTGTGTTCCTTTGGGCTTAACTGGCTGACTCTGATCTTGTTCCTCTCCAGATGGACATATGGAACCTTGTTGGGTCTGGAAGGGAAGAAGCTGGGGAACCTGTTTCCCTTATTATCTTCAGGGCACATGTCCTGGCCCCATACCAGACATTTTGAATTGGAATCTCCAGTAGGAGATCATCTGTTAATCACAAATGCTTAACTAGAAAATTACTCTGGTTCTGTTGGTCATAGAGTCCAACTAGTACATTTAGAAAATAATATTGCAGAAATTCTTGCACTTCTCATTGAGCACAGCCTTTACCTAAAGCAGGCTTTTTTCTATTTCATGCTTCCCTTTGTGACCTGTTAGATAAACTTTTAGGTGTGGCTTTTAAATAAAGAGTTTTAAAACTCTTTAAACATAATTAGAACTGATTTGTACAACATATAAAAGAATGGTACAGTGCTCTGGGCTTTTGAAAGCATTGTTAATGACATTTGCATAGCTTTTGTGACAAAAAAAAAATCTCATTCTTAAGTAATTTGAGTAATTGTTTACAAGATGTTTAGCTCGTCCTTTAGAAAAAGTTTAGAGTAACACTAAAAGTTTTTAAAATTTTACTTTTTGGTGATGAATATTAAGCACTGGTGGTATCTTGAAAGATAGTTAAAAATGTGCATCATTCTAAGTAGTGTTCTATTGGTAATCTTAATACTTAACAGTGACATTTTTTTTCTCTGTTTCTCTAAATTAAAAAATGGTCTTTTGAAAGTAATTGTCTGATCATTTGGTTTTCTGTGTTGCTTGTGAATTGTTTATAACTTCATGGTTTGGGAGAAATTCCAGTAAGACATGAGTGACTCATTTTTACTTTGGGAGGTATTCTTAATATGTCAGACATTTTTAGTTTAGTTTTTTGTTTGTTTTTTGTTTTTATGAGTTTCTTGGAACAGTTTTGGTGTTAGAAGGAAAAAGTACTTTTCCTTAAGATTTTGAACCCCACTGGTTTTAAATAGGAATTAGTCCTTAGAGCCTGAACTTTCTCTTCATTTATATTTCTTGGTTCTTGATGCTATTTTGGTGCAAAGGAAAATATTTTGAAAGTAATTCCAAGAATTTCTATAAGTACACTTGAATTGATGACTGTCATTTGTCTTGGAACTGTTATTGTGCAAACTTGTGCTTCTTCATCAAACATTTGGTGGGACCTAAGGAAATAGGTCATAGTTGGACTTGTGTTGATGGAATTTTCTGGACTGGTTTAATCATCAAGTAATAAAAGTAATTATCAACTGTGAAGCTGAGCTTTATGATTGTTTTCGTTTTTAATTGATTCATTCTTGGACTAATTTATGGCACATTCTTTATGTAAATATATTATGTTTTGAGAGATACTCAAATTTGAAAGCAATACCAAGTAAGAAGCATATGTGGGATTTTGGTACATGTGTTTCTTTCTTTCTTTCTTTCTTCTTTTTTTTTTTTATATGCATTCTAATGAAGTACTCTGGTGGTTTCAGACTCGCCTTCATAATGTACAGTTCAGTGTGGCCTGTGCGTGTTGTTTTGTGTTTCCTGCATTGATTTTTGCCTCCATTTATTCTCTATTGCAGTCTAAAAGTTGGTTTTAATTGGTTGCCCACAGGATTGACTTGGCCTCTACTTCTTGTTAAGAAAATACATCTCTTGTTTGATCAGGTAAGAGATTTTGAATAGAGGGTTTGTTTTTATACAAATTAAAATGAGATAGCTTATTTAGTAACATGAAAATATGTGTAGCAGCTGAATTGTGGGGGATTTTCTTTTGCTTTTTTTTAACAGTCTTATCTGAGGGATGGGGGTGGGGTGGACTGGGTGCTTTGAACAGTTGTTGCTTTCTTTGGGGGTCAGTCTTATTTAGATGCATTTCTCCTGCTGAATTCCTGATTATTAGGCAGTAAGTAGCTGTTTTTTTTCCTCATTGTAGCATTCTAGACTAATTACAAATATAGGTGCTTGTTATTGGTATGGTTTTTTAATATTCCTTTGAGGTATAGGTATAGATAATGGGTCATATGTTTTAGAATACATATTTTGACTTTAGATGGAACTTTAGTGATTGGAATCTAACCCTCTTGTTAAATAACAAAGGTAGGCTCAAGGTAGTTGAAGTGACTTACCTGTCAAACAGGCGCTTAGTAGCAGAATAGCAGATCTTAACTTCATATTTTTTTGGAACCTGAAAACTGTTTTTCACTTTAGATGGCTTTATGAATAAGTCTTATGCTCTACTTTGGTTTAATCCTCAGCCCTTTTTCTAGCTGGTAATCTGGGCAGATTTTCAGCGTCATGTTTTCGTATGTACTTTGCGCAGACTTTCACTACATCCCTTCTCTTAGTAGCAGATGGTTTTTGAAGAGTTGCTGTGTGTGTCACTTTAGCCCTGTGTTTAATTTTTCTGTTCTTGGGACCATATCAAATTCCCATTTTACTGTCCCAGTGTAAACTAACATCTCTATCTCTCAAGTCTTTTTGGGTGCCTAGACTACTTATCCATGATGTTTCCCCCATATAGTGAATAAATGATTAAGCATTTTTTAAAGTTGAACGGGAATACTGTCTTAATTTTGCATATAGCTAATATGCTAGAGATAGTAAGGAAAGAGAATTTAATGACTTGGAGTTGTCTTGATGAGCTTTCATATAGATTGCTAAGTAGTAAATAAGCGAAAAGAGTTTGTTGGTGTGATTAATTTTTTTAGTATTAATTTTTCTTGCTGACTCTTGCAAACCAAAGACGAAAGGCTTCCCTCCTCACCCAGATTTCTAGTGTTTTATAATGGTCTCATAAGAGCATTTTCTGTTTGCCAATCCATCTTTCTGGATTAAATTTGAAAGTAGCTTTTATATTTGTGTATGTGTGTGAGAAAACTGTCAAAGCCAAACAGTATATTTCTGTTTTGTGTACAGCAGTCATAATGGTTGAGATATAATTACAGATTTTATTTCATCAAATTGATATTCACATAATATTTGACATGAAAAACTATTTTCATGAGGTTTACAGGATTCTTAGAGCTTGCAGCAGGAAACTTTGGTCTTTTAATGTTCCTGTTTGAAAGGTGTTAAAACCAAACTCAAGTCATTTATAATTTTCCTGAGGTCCCAGAGCTAGTTATATATGTATATGTTTTTTAAAGTTTATTTATTTTGAGAGAGAGTCGGGGAGGACCAGAGAGAGAGAATCCTAAACAGGCTCCATGTTGTCAGTGCGAAGCCTGATCATGGGGCTCAAATTTACAAACTGTGAGATCATGACCTGAGTAAAAGACCCTTAACCAATCGACAGAGCCACCTAGGTGTCTCTAATAGGTTTATATTTAAAAGTTGATATTTAAGATGGATTGGAAAATACCCTAAGTTATTGACCACATAAATTTCAAATTAATATTTTTTCTAGTCCCAAGAATTTGTTTTGTATCAGTTTACAAAGGGCTGCCCTTGCATTTACACTTGAAAGCCGTAAGAACTGAAATAGTGAAATTTTACTTAAATCTGGGAGAAACTTTTCTTTTTGACTAGTTAAACATGAGACATCTAAGGAGATCAGTGAGTTCCCAGAAATTCCACAGGAATTACATTGGGTAGGAGACTATAACAATCACTGAATAAAGTTTATATACCCTAGTTCTTTTTAAAACAAAAAAAATACCTTTTTTTTTTTTTATTATCAGCCTTCTGTGAGAAAAATGAATGTGTGTGTGTGTGTATTGGTAGGTTTGGGAATGAGTCATTGGATCTGGGTTTTAATTAAAATAGCTTTGGTGAATGGCACTGTAACCAGGTTCTATTTTTTGGAGTGACGACTATGGATAACTAAGATTTTGGCTATTTTATTCAGTAGTTCTTTGGATTCTTCGTATGCATTAATCTTGTTTGTAGTAACTAATTCCATATGTAGTTTTCTTTAATAAATAGAGCTGTAATGCAGTTTGAAGAGTTTTAGGATGAAATATGGAATCGGTTCTCATTTGAGACTTGAATCTACTTTAGTGTTAATTATTTGTAATTCATTAGTATTCCAGTTTCCTGTTTCTCTTTTGCATTTTGAGATTGAGTCATATAAAATGACACTGATAATTCTACAAAGTTGTCAAGTTTATAAAGGAAAATGCTAAGTCACTTTTAAATATTAACTTTGATACATCCTTTGCATGCTTTCCTCCTGCAGACTGTTAAACTTTGTGTCCTGATCTGACTTACACATTTCTTTTAAATCTTACTGAATAATTAGTGGTCTGAGTGATATAATTGGTGATTTTACTTTCATTATGGTGGTTTTTTTTCCTGAACTTTTGAGTCATAGGACTGAACTTCTAACTGTTTACAGAATTAATGCCTTTTGGAAGTTGAAATTGTCTAGGTTTTACATTGTAAACGGCACATAATATTCAGTTTTTAGAATATTCAAATTAAAAAAAAAAAAACAAACCCTACATTGCTTGAGATAGTTTGAGGGCCTAATAAGGTAGCTGGTCATTCTTGTAGCTAAAAACTTGGTGTGATGAACAGGAGTCTGACCTGGCCGTTGCCTTTTCTCATCTGCAGGTGTGTGTGGTTTCAGCGCAGCATGGCTGTGGTCATCCGTTTGCAAGGTCTCCCAATTGTGGCGGGGACCATGGACATTCGCCACTTCTTCTCTGGATTGACCATCCCTGATGGGGGCGTGCATATTGTAGGGGGTGAACTGGGTGAGGCTTTCATCGTTTTTGCCACTGATGAAGATGCAAGGCTTGGTATGATGCGCACAGGTGGTACAATTAAAGGGTCAAAAGTAACACTTTTGTTGAGTAGTAAAACGGAAATGCAGAATATGATTGAACTGAGTCGTAGGCGTTTTGAAACTGCCAACTTAGATATACCACCAGCAAATGCTAGTAGATCAGGACCGCCACCTAGCTCAGGAATGGGTGGCAGGGTAAACTTGCCTACAACAGTACCTAACTTTAATAATCCTTCACCCAGTGTAGTTACTGCCGCTACATCGGTTCATGAAAGCAACAAAAACATACAGACATTTTCCACAGCCAGCATAGGAACGGCTCCTCCAAATATGGGGGCTTCTTTTGGGAGCCCAACGTTTAGCTCAACCATTCCAAGCACAGCGTCTCCAATGAACACAGTCCCACCACCACCAATTCCTCCAATCCCAGCGATGCCATCTTTGCCACCAATGCCGTCCATTCCCCCAATACCAGTTCCTCCTCCGGTACCTACATTGCCTCCTGTGCCTCCTGTGCCCCCAATCCCCCCAGTCCCTTCTGTGCCACCCATGACCCCACTGCCACCCATGTCAGGCATGCCACCCTTGAACCCGCCACCTGTGGCCCCTCTACCTGCTGGAATGAATGGCTCTGGAGCACCTATGAATCTGAACAATAACCTGAACCCTGTGTTTCTGGGTCCATTGAATCCTGTTAACCCTATCCAGATGAACTCTCAAAGCAGTGTGAAACCACTTCCCATCAACCCCGATGATCTGTATGTCAGTGTACATGGTATGCCCTTTTCTGCAATGGAAAATGATGTCAGAGATTTTTTCCATGGGCTCCGTGTTGATGCAGTGCATTTGTTGAAAGATCATGTAGGTCGAAATAATGGGAACGGATTGGTTAAATTTCTCTCCCCTCAAGATACATTTGAAGCTTTGAAAAGAAACAGAATGCTGATGATTCAACGCTATGTGGAAGTTAGTCCTGCCACAGAGAGACAGTGGGTAGCTGCTGGAGGCCATATCACTTTTAAGCAAAGTATAGGACCTTCTGGACAAACCCATCCCCCACCTCAGACACTTCCCAGGTCAAAATCGCCCAGTGGGCAGAAAAGGTCGAGGTCAAGATCACCACATGAGGCTGGTTTTTGTGTTTACTTGAAAGGGCTACCATTTGAAGCAGAAAACAAACATGTCATTGATTTTTTTAAAAAGTTGGATATTGTGGAAGATAGTATTTATATCGCTTATGGACCCAATGGGAAAGCAACTGGTGAAGGCTTCGTAGAATTCAGAAATGAGGCTGACTATAAGGCTGCTCTGTGTCGTCATAAACAATACATGGGCAATCGCTTTATTCAAGTTCATCCAATTACTAAGAAAGGTATGCTAGAAAAGATAGATATGATTCGTAAAAGACTGCAGAACTTCAGCTATGACCAGAGGGAAATGATGTTAAATCCGGAGGGGGATGTCAGCTCTGCCAAAGTCTGTGCTCACATAACAAATATTCCATTCAGCATTACCAAGATGGATGTTCTTCAGTTCCTAGAAGGAATCCCAGTGGATGAAAATGCTGTACATGTTCTTGTTGATAACAATGGGCAAGGTCTAGGACAGGCATTGGTTCAGTTTAAAAATGAAGATGATGCACGTAAGTCTGAACGCTTACACCGTAAAAAACTTAACGGGAGAGAAGCTTTTGTTCATGTAGTTACTCTAGAAGATATGAGAGAAATTGAGAAAAATCCCCCTGCCCAAGGAAAAAAAGGGTTAAAGATACCTGTGCCAGGTAATCCTGCAGTTCCAGGAGTGCCCAGTGTGGGAATGCCCAATGCGGGAATGCCTAATGCGGGAATGCCCAGTACAGGAATGCCCGGTACAGGAATGCCCGGTGCGGGAATGCCTGGTACAGGAATGCCCGGTGCTGGAATGCCTGGTGCCGGAATGCCCGGTGCCGGAATGCCTGGTGCGGGAATGCCCGGTGGAGGAATGCCTGGTGCAGGAGGTGAAGAACATGCCTTCCTGACTGTAGGATCTAAGGAGGCCAACAATGGGCCTCCATTTAACTTTCCTGGTAATTTTGGCGGGTCGAATGCCTTTGGGCCACCACTCCCTCCTCCAGGATTAGGAGGGGCCTTTGGTGATGCTAGGCCTGGTATGCCTTCAGTTGGAAATAGTGGTTTGCCTGGTCTAGGACTGGATGTTCCAGGTTTTGGAGGTGGACCAAATAATTTAAGTGGGCCAGGATTTGCAGGAGGCCCTCAGAATTTTGGAAATGGCCCTGGTAGTTTAGGTGGCCCCCCAGGTTTTGGAAGTGGCCCTCCTGGTCTTGGAAGTGCACCTGGGCATTTGAGTGGGCCGCCAGCCTTTGGGCCTGGCCCTGGGCCTGGGCCTGGCCCAATTCACATTGGTGGACCCCCTGGCTTTGGATCTAGTTCTGGAAAACCAGGACCAACAGTAATTAAAGTGCAGAATATGCCCTTTACTGTGTCTATTGATGAGATTTTAGATTTCTTTTATGGCTATCAAGTGATCCCAGGCTCAGTGTGTTTAAAATACAATGAAAAAGGTATGCCCACAGGCGAAGCCATGGTGGCCTTTGAATCTCGGGATGAAGCCACAGCTGCTGTCATTGACTTAAATGACAGACCTATAGGCTCAAGGAAAGTAAAACTTGTCTTAGGGTAGCTGTTCACATCAATTCTTTATAGGGTAGATCTTCATAGTGCTGTGATTAATGCATCCAGATTGTTTTCCTAGTATTTCCAGGTTAGAACCTGTGGATTGTTTCAATTGCATATAGATTGGTTTCTATAACATAGAGCATTGGTTGACTGTTTACAGAAGATTCACTACCAGTATAAATATTGCTGTATGTTACAGTAAAGCTGTCTGGAGAGAACACAAAAATGATTTTGGCATACCATTAGAGAAACCATTTGTAAAACACAAATGACCATATAAAGCTTATCAAGGAGTCTCTAGATTGGTTTTGTTTTATATCTTATGAGATGAAGAAAATAGAAATGTCAATAGAGCTCATTAAGGGTGCTCTTGCCAGCTGCTGAAAAATAGAAGTTGGCTACTCTTGGAATTTGGTTTAAAGCTGGACAGATTTGCTTTGTTATAGGGTCAAAGCTTTGTCTAAAGTCCTCATTTTCTTTTAAAATTGAATAAAATCTCTGTATACAGATTCACTGTATGTACCTTTATTGCTTCTTGAGGGTTCTTGCTGTATAGACAGTCCTGCTTCTGAAGTTGCTGCTTTTTTGTTTGCCTAATTGACTCATTTGTAAATGAGCAGAACTGTTCTTGTTGTTGTTGTTTTAATATAAAACTCCACACTTGGTTTGTGCTATAACCTTGAACTTTGATTTCTAATGTCACACTTAAAACTGTGTGAAATAAGTACTTTTGCCACAAAAATAAAATATGGAGTCCTCTACCTACCAGAGCCTTTTTGGTTTGACCGCCACGTTTTAGTTTAGTCAGTTTAAAAATTGTTCATGTTGTTTGGATGGCATCAAAAACCCGAAACCACTTGTAATAATCATTGCTTAAGATGCTGGATTTGAAGTCCTCTCCATGATGGACTGATATTCTGGCAATTTTGTTCTGTCCCAAATTTGTGTGAAATTTTGGCCTGTAACTAAACAAAGAGGGTCCATTTATAAGAAAGAGCATTATTATATCTAGTTTTGTTTTTTTTTTAACTGAAGTTGAAATTGTTAGCTTTGTTAGCAGTAGTGTTATAGAATAAAAGATCCATAAGCGGTTCCATAGATGTGCATTTAATCCTGTTACTTTGGGGGCTTTTTGGTCTAGTTGTTTGATCAGGAGCCTATTTATAAAAATTCTTCATAAGGAGTACAAGTGCAGCTGCCAGAGGGGAGAGAATTGAGACTCTTTGCCCTTTTCATACTCTTTTCTTTGGCATTCAGGACACTAAGGCAGGAGGACCACATGGGTTCTGGTTGGTAAGTGTCCTTGTCATGAAAACATTTGCCTTACAACATCCTGCTCACTGATACAAAAGGCTCTACTTATGGTTACTTTCCTTCTTAGTTAAAATGTTCTAAAGATGTGTCACATTATATTATAAACATATGGAATGGGAGATTGGTGAGATATCATGAAAAACAAATTTTGTCTTACTTGGGCCTCTGTCTTGGTTTGAAACATTCCCAACATTTCCTGCAAATCAATGTACTTACAAAGGGGTCAGCCTTTTAAAAGAAGTATTTCCTGTTTAAAAAAAAAAAAATAGTGCCTTTTTGGTGTTGCAAGTCAGTGGAACACTGAAATACAGAGTCTGGTATAATTTAGAGTTAAGAGTGGTAACAGTTTCATTTGTGTGATAAGATTTGGAGAGACTTTTCATCACTACAATCTTAGAGGATTGACAGTACAGGATTTTTTGTTTAGGGAGAGGATTATTTAGACTTTCAAAGAAGACATGGCTGTGTTGTGGGTCTTTTGACAATTCATGAATGCATATTCGCTTTGACAGATCACTAGATATTGCCTCCTCAACTAAAAAAGCAATATGATGTTTATATATGCTGTTCAATTTAAGTTTTCTATTAAGTAATCATTTCTCATTCCAAAGACCAAGTGCAGAAAACTTCAGCGCTGCTTGGGAGTCTTATTTCAACTGCAGTTTATTTTCCCCATTGGAGAGCTGACTATTTTCATTTTAGAAAAATGGGTTGTTTGAAGATGAAAGCCTTTTATCTTTTTTCCACAGTTTATTTTGGTTATATGTTCGTACAATCTTATTAAATATTTCATATACTTTATTGCAACTACTTTGTTATTTCTACATCTTAGATAAATGCTGAAAAGGAAAACTTGATTTCATTGTTCATCAAATTAAATAAATTAAGAAAATAGTGGTTTGTGTAGAAATTGGAGAGAACTGTTTCATATTTGGTTGAGTCACAACAGTGCTTCTCGTTGTGAAATGTAATTAAATGCTTTGCCCTCTGGAACTTGATTTTTGTGTATCTGAGACTTATTGAATAGAGTGCTAACTGCTAAGCATACTGTTCATCTTGTTCTGGGCATTGGAGTTTGAGTTTTAAAAAATTCTTGAAAATATGCTCTGTGAAATTATTCATACCTCTCTTCCTGCAAATTTTCTCATAACTAGGTTTGGGGTAAAAATGAATTTCTTTCTCATTTGCTTTGTATGGTATGAAGGATTTGTAAAGCTTTGCTTAAAGTTGTGTGCATTTGTAAACACTATCATGATATTTTCAATTTTCTGTGTAAATTTTGTCTGTTTTTGGTGACATGAACGGAAGAGAATCTTTTCCTTTAGGATTAATTCCCTCCTCACCCCCTTGCTGGGTGTTTTGGTTTTTTTAGTTTAAAGGATTAGAGAAATCTACAAAATGTATTTTATAAATAAGCAATTTTGTAAACTTTTTCTGAACTCGGGTGAAACGTTTAGTTCACAAGCAAAATTTGGAGGTGTATTCTGTGTTTAATACTGTAGTTTGGATGTATAATTATTAGTGGGTTTTTCTTTCTTTTTTTTTTTTTTTAACGCAACACTGTTCAGTGAAATGTAGTTCCTAGCTTTGTGCTCCAAGTTGTCAAAGCATCAACCGTGAAAATTGCATTAGGAAACTTTTTATTCACAATTTCAGAGAGTAATGTTCAGTGTAATTAGGTCAGTCTTAACACACTGGATGAAAATCTAGGGCCGTGTATGTACGTAAGCAAATATACCTTGGATAAAATAAGGATCCATGAAAGCCTTAATCAAACTCAAAGTCCTTTTTATTGGATTCTGTCATTGTGTACAGGCGTGGGTCAAGGGTTTAAAAATAAATCCACTCATCAATTTCAAGAACATTTAAAAATGAGTAAAGAAACTGTAAAGTTGCTGCTAGTTAAATCTTCTGTAAGAATTCCTGGCAGTGATCACTTTTAAAACTTTCCCACTCTTGCAAAATTACCACATTTAAGTAGTTTTACCGGCAGTTCTACAGTAGTCCAAGCTTTAGAAACCAAACACAATAAAACGATTCATTGCCAGTATGGCCACAACATTGCCAGCAAATACTGCCTTGGCATCATTCAGCAGAGGTTTTTGTTTATAAAGATGAAGTCTTGAATACTGTTCAATAAACTTGTCACAAAATAAAAGAGGCTGATGCTTTTAATGCTTTACACAAGAGTACTCTATTGAGCTATACCATCAGGGTTTTTTGTTTATTTGTTTTGTTTTGTTTTGTTTTTAACTCCTACAAATACTTTGTGCCTTTGGAAAGATGGATTTGGTGATCTTGGAGGTAACCATTGTTGCTTATCCTTGTCTGCTAATGCTGAAGTGTGGAAAGAAGATACCTGGAACGGCAGGGAGGAAACTTGATTCTAGGTCAAATCTGTGGTATCCACCTTTTCAGACTTTTATCTTACGTGCTTTGCTAGCAAGCCACTTCGTTATGTGGACTCAGAAAGTATGAGAAACCAGATCTTCTTTTTACAGAGGGAGTCTTAAAGGGGGCTGTGAATTGTCTTTTTAAAAAACTGATTAAGAAATGGAAAAAGAAATCTTCAGAATGCATTGTCAGTTGCACATACTTCTAAAGCTTTTTCTTTTTTGTTTACTTATTCTTGTATTAGTATGTGAGGTGTTTTGAGGTGTGGGAGAGGAATCAAAAATACTGCTGCTTTCTGACATTGATGCTCTGGTTTTGTCCCTTCCACATTTTGTTCAACTGCTAAAAAAAATTAGCAAATGAAAAGTTTCCATAAACTCCAGAGGCCTTAAAAAAATCTGAATTGAAGTTGCAGATAAACTAGTGGGCTATTCCTTTTAACCAAGGCTCTTGAATAATATAACTTTTACCTTTATCACGAAAGTTTTTAGTCTGTTTTGAGTTTCAATACTGAAGTTGTTTTAGAGGGGTTTAGACTTAAACATACTTAATTCCAGGTGGTTGCTGAACTGTTCTAAAATTATGAAGGTTTGACTAAGCATTTGAAAAATCACAGGGTGAAATCAGCTGCCTACAGATACCCAGAATGGCCCTTACCATCTTAAAGGGATAGACCGTATGCTAATAATACATTTCGTTTTCTTGTTCAGGAGAGAGCCCTCATTTTGACTCATTGTTGTCTGCTTTCCAGTGTTTTACAGCAAGAAGTGGTTTAGCAGTTTGTGCATCACCACCATTCTCCTTACCCCCCAAAAGTAGAGCTTTTATGGGATATGAGAATCCAAATCTAAGAATACGCTTTTTAATTAAAAAATTGCTTGGTGTCAGTTTTGTCTTTTTAGTATAAAATCTGATAGATTGCATTGACTTATCTAAAATGTTCTGGAAAGAGTATACTCTGGTGGTGGCACAATTCTTTGATGCTATAGTGACTTTTCTGGAAAAACCCTTCTGTTTGTACCTGTTCATGTAAATGTTAATTCTTTACTGTGCTTCCTGGATTTATTCTTGTTGCCTTGAGCTACTTTATGCCAGATGATCTCAGAAGCTTCTTAGAATATGGCTCCTTTTCTGGATCAACGTAACTAACAATGAGCAACTAAGGTAGCACTGCTTTTCTACATATTGCTCTACTACTGAAGAGTACAGAAGGGGCAAAAAAATAAAGCCACTTGATGAAAGCATTCTAGCCCCAGGGGCAGAAATCTGGTGGCAGGAAATAGTGCTGAGGCAAATCTCATTAGCTGTTATCTTTGAATTCTTTTAAGAGGCCCAGGAACCTTTCCCTAGTGAAAATGTTGATAGTTAAATCATAGATACTAAGAAAACTTGTAGAGAAGTGGCTAAATGACACAACAGACATTGGAATTGGCATCCCAGCTGAACCAGACATCTGGATTCTGATTTTAGTAACTTAATATTTCAAGTCATTTTTCCCAGTCAGCCAAAGGCTGTTTCATGTTGAGAGAAGGAAGAGGTGACTATTTGGGGAAAATAGAGGTATGACCAGCAGTGGAACATAATTCAATATGGACAGAGTCAGATGTTGAAGAATTGTAACACTCCCAGGAGTAAGCTGTGCTATATTCAAACAGGCTGCCCTTAGTGTTTGATTCTCTACATTCTGATACTGCCCGTTTCCCGCCTTTTACCTGCTTACAATACTAAGTCTGCTGGTAACCAGGGCCATGAGTTTCTCACTGCTATCTCTGTAGTCTAGACTCTTAATGGTGGGGGGTTGGGGGGGGGAGATGTGACCTCACTCACCATCTTCATAAATAAGATTTGTCATTTAAGCATTTGTGCTACATACCAAATGTAACAACCACATGTGCTACCATAAGTCACCTGTTAGTCCTTGCAGAGTGGGGAAGGCTTAAGGGTAAAGAAATTCAGCTACTTTATTAAGGGGTCTTAAATCATACTAACTGGTGCTGTTGCTGATTTCATTTTCCTTTTGTTCCACTTGGAAGTGAGTTAATGCCATCCTCCACTACACTCCCCCACATAGAGTGTTGCTGTACAGAGATGGTCATGTCCTTTATACAGAACTCTTTCTGTGGTGTGGGCCTATGGGACCATCAGGGTCCCTCTGCTATAAATCTGGCTAAAGTGGAAAGACTAATGCAGCTCTTTCTGAAGTAGATGCTTCCAGTTACCTTGCTTTGATGATCATTGAATTGACAGGTTGGAATTGGAAATGTCTTTTGCCTCTAAGCTTTTAAGACCGTTTCACATGGATAATCAGCTTAGCCCTAGCAGTAACCCATGCTGACTAAATTTTTTGAGCAGTCTTATGCGCCCAGTACTTCCATGCTGTGGTAGAAAAGGAAGCAAAATAAAATGCCTGTTCTTAAAGACCTAAGGTCTTAAATTATACAAGTAAGTGCTCCACTGTACTTGTGCATGTACAGGGTACACTCATGTCCCACAGGAAATGGATAAAGGGTTTCCTGGCGAGTTGCTAAATGGTCAGACAGAACAAGTGTAATGGAAGCCTTGTGTATAAGCTGAGGGAAGGCATGGTCTCTAACCAAGGTTCTTGGGGACGTAATATTAATTTAGTAAAATGAAATGATTAATTGTGTGCGGGAACACAGTGGCACTACCTAAAATGGTATTTGTTCTGGAGGCTCTTAAAATTGTTCCATAACAGTGTAGCCTGAGTGGTGTGACTGAGCTGAATGGTGAGTAAGGCAGGCAGGTAAAGGGTTGGTTCTAGGAGTGTCCTGACCTAGCAGAGGGATAGAATCTTTTGTCTTTTTAATGACCTTTTGACTAGCTGCCGTATACCACTTCTTATAAACAAATGGCCTAATAAGACATTCATAAATGGTCCAGAATTAAGTGAATTCCTCCATCAATTTAACCAGTTGTATATAGTTGACTATCTGAAATTCATTTGGTAGTTTTAGCTTTTCTGAATGAGATGTCCACTACTTTGTGCTTGTTATTCCAGATCAGCACTGTCCAGTAGAGTTTTGTCCAGTGGAAATGTTCTCATCTGCATTCATATGCTGATCATTAGCCACTGTAGTAGCTACTATTTTTTTTTTTAAGTTTATTTATTTTGAGAGAGAGGGAGAGTGAATTCCAAGTAGGCTCCACTGACAGTGCAGAGCCAGACATGGGGCTCCATCCCACCAACCATGAGATTATGACCTGAGCTGAAATCAAGAGTTGGACCTTTTAACTGACTGAGCCACCCGGGTGCCCCTGTAGTAGCTACTACTAAATTTAATAAGCCACATGTGGCTAGTGGCTACTGTATCAAACAGCACAATTCTAGGTTCACAGAACAACAGAAAATTTGCTTTTCCATGTCTGATCTTTGGAGATTCCCCATGTTAGGCAACACTGTCCAATAGAAATAAGAGTCACTTATGCTATTTAAGTTTTTCTAGTAGCCACGAAAAAGAAAAAAACAAAAACAAGTTGATAATACATTTTATTTAACTCAGTATATCCTGAAATGTTACCATTTCAGTATATACTCTATAAAAATTATTGAGTTTTTTTACCAAATTTTTAATGTGTATTTTATAGCACATTGTGATTTGAACTAAGCATATTTCAGGTGCTCAATATCCGCTTGTGGGTAGGAGGCCGTCCTTTTGGACAGTACAGATTTAGAATATAAGAAAAGTTATCCCCTGTCATTTCTCTTAGCTGTGCTGCCTCTTTCAGCTGTGTGTTTACTTTTGAGTATTTGAATTTTGTTGTGTCCCTCCTAACCTTTCCCCTTCCTCTTACATTGGCATGTTTTTTTGAGGCAGTTTATTTGCCTCAGTTAAGATTTTTAT